ACACGGTCATCGACTTTCTTGATAATGGACTGTTTCTGTGGTTATATTTGTTTACAAGACGGAATTTTCTTCTCCATCGCTGATGGGAAAAAATTGAATTTCTAGCACCAATTTTGGGGAGAGTGACATTGAATTATATTTGAGGGGAAACGTCGAATGATATTTGAAGGTTCAATTGAAATTCAAGTGGAATGAAATAGTTTCAAGTGTAATGTCACAAGAAATGGAAAATTTACACTGAGGAATTTCCAAAGCAAATTTTGCAATTGGAGTTTTAGATATATTTGAAGTCGTCACGATGTTTATTAATTTTTTGTTGCAAAATTCGTGGAAAGTGTTTAATAATGGAATTTCAAGCACCAATTTCTAGGAGAGTGCGATTGAATTAAATTTGAGGAAAAACGTCGAATTAAATTTGAAGTTTAAATTGAAATTCCAGTGTAATAAAATAGTTTTAATTGAAAATTTCACAATAAATGGAAAATTTACATCGAGAAATTTCCAATGCAAATTTGTGATTGTAGTTCTTGATATTATATGTGAAGAGTCGCCAAGATGTTAACTAATTTTTTGTCACAAAACTCGTTAAAAGTGTTCAATAAATTATTTTCGTCCGATATGTATGTCATTTCTGACTTTAGCTGTTTTCTCCCATGAAAGTTCTTGGGTATTGTTAGAAGGGACGGGCTATTCTTGAAAAAATGAGGACCAGCGGGGATCCAATGGCATTACACGGTCATCAACTTTCATGATAGTATACTATTCCTGTGTTTATATTTGTTTACAAGATGATATTTTCTTCTCCATAGCTGTTGGAAAAAATGGAATTTCATATATTTAATATTTTAGGGGAATGCTCTGATGACATTTCAAGTGTCACCTGAAATTCAAGTAGAATAAACGAGTTTTAAGTAGACATGAGACAGATATTTTGAAATCAATTGAAGAATCAAGCACAAAATTTGACAAATTTACACTGAAAAACTCTAGTTTCAAATAAAAATCTCAAAATTATAGTCAATGGAACACTTGGAATAAAACATTATAACCGAGAGAATTTCGAAACATCCACACAAAAAAAAATTTGAACAGTGACGTTAAATTATTTTTAAGGGAAAAATTCTCATAGAATTCCAAATTTTGGCTGAAATTCAGAGGCGATAGAATAGTTTCAAGTGAAAATAAAGGAAAAATTTCCCAATAAATCTGAAATTCAAGGACAAATTCCCCAGAATTTTCATAATGTCGATTGATTCTCATTCCACTCATTTTTCACCATTAAAAACATACAAGAAAAAAATTCAGAAATTAACACCAAGAAATTTCCGCAAGAAATTTGGAATAAAACTCTAAAACTCATCTACCTATACAGGAAGTCGTTAAGATTTCCATTATTTTTTCGCCCTAAAACCTGAGAAAAATATTAAATAAATTATAGATTCTAGTCATAAATATCAAACTCCTGAGAGATATAAATTTCCCCGCGATAATTCAACGCGTTGAAAGAATGTGATATTCAAAATACCTTCGAACCTCTAAAAAAAAAGAATATCTATATACCTAGATCCATCCACGATGTGATAATAAATCATTCCTTTGAATGAAAACCTTTAAACCATTCCATTGTCAGGTCTCTTTCAATTTCACTTTCTCACCATCAATCCCATGTGATTTTTATTTCGTCCTCAATTTTTTTTACTCTGTCGGCATATTCTCAGACTATATATGCAAAGTAATCAAAATTAATTCGAGACAAGATATAAAAACATTTGATTTTGAATTCCATATGTTTATATTTCTCTCACAAAGTGGAAAATGACAGTTTCAATCCGACTTTCTGTGGAAAAGAAATTCAACAAATGAATATCAAGGATATCCAAGTATTTGTTATGATTCCGAACAAATGATTTTTATAGTGAAACATTAGTTGTGTAAATTATTTACAGACAATGCTCGTAATTTTCGAAAATAGCAATTTTTAAATTATTTCGTCAATCATGCTCCAAAAGTAAACTTTGGAGGGATGATCATCAATATTAATTTCTTCGATATTAAGAGGATTTTTTCGACTTACTTTACTTACTTATTTTTCGACTTACGAATTTCAAAATAATAAAATAATTGATAACCTAATTTCCAATTGATGATGAATTATAGATATCATTGAGGATGAATTATTTTTTTTTAATCGTTATTTTACATCGCTTCGACCCGGTTAGGGTATACTGCGATGATGATCATGACTTTAAATGGTTAGATCGCACCATTCTACCCGGCCGAGATTTGAACTCGGAGCCTTTCGCATGTGAGGCAACGAACTTACCCACTGCGCCAAGCCACCGGGATGATGATGAATTATGATGAAATATATAAAAATATGGAACTATAATTTTTTCTATCAAGTAGATAATACTTCATTTCTTCTTAATCTTCTCACCTCAATTACTGATTAATGAAAAATTCAAAATTTTATTATTTTGATGATTACTTCAATAATTGAAATTTAAAAGTGGTATCAACTACTTGACTACTTAATAATTTAACAGTAATTATGATTGAAGGATATGGCTATCCCTGGGATCTGTATCGAAACTCAAATTCAGGCCTGCAAAGTTTGAATAATAAAATCATTGTAAAATACCGAAGAACGTGGATACCGCAAATCCATCTGTTTATATTTTTCTCACAAAGTGAAAAATGACAGTTTAATTCCGACTTTCTGGGAACAAGAAATTCAACAAATGAATATTAAGGATATCCAAGTATTTGTTACGATTCCGAGCAAATGATTTTTATGGTGAAAAATTGATTGTATATAAATTAATTATAGACAATATGACAATCATCTTCCGAAAGTAAACTTTGGCTTTTTTTCAGATTTTTAAAATGTATTCAACAACAATTACGAGCCTGTTTTTTAGAATTCGACTCCTACACAGCTGATTTCTTTTTTTTTCATATAAAAAAATTCATTATTTGTGTAAAAAAATACAAAAAAAGCAAATTTAGCTATGTATGAGGCGAAGTGAAAAAAAACTAGCTCGTAATTATTATTCTACATATTTCTCCGAAAATTTTGAAAAAAAATCCTCCGTAGCTCAAAAATTGGAGGCCCTGGACCCGAACAATTGAAAAATTTTTTTTTGCAATAATTATTCGCTTTCAGATCTATATAATCGATCTTCAACGTATGAAAAGTCTCATTCGAATAACCCACGACTTTTAAAACTCATAGTAGTCTCCCCTTAATATTAATTTCTTCAATATTAAGAGGGTTTTTTCGACTTACATATTAGATCAAGGTTTAATATACTAATAGGAATTTAAAAATAGTAAAATAATTGATAACCTAAATTTCCAATTGATGATGAATTAAATATTTAAAAATTGGAACTATAACTTTTCTGTTAAGCAGATAATAAATACTTAATTCCTTATAAGGTATTTCCGATTATCCAAATAATCGTCAATCTTCTCACCTCAATTACTGCTTAATGAATAATTCAAAAATTGATTATTCAAATTGATGATTGCTTTAATAATCAAAATTTAACAGCAATGATAATTGATGGATATGTCTATCTCTGGGTTCAATTTGAATTTCGATTGAATTTGAAGTTCAATCGAAATTCAAATCCAGACCTGCAAACTATAGATAACAAAATCATTGTAAAATGCCAAAGAACTTGGATGCTCAAATCCATCTGTTTATATTTCTCTCACAAAGTGGAAAATGACAGTTTCATTCCGCCTTTCTACAAAAAGGAAATTCAACAAATGAATATTAAGCAGAATTAAGGGGGATGATTTTTTGTCGCCTGTAGGGGACGACCCGAGTAAGAGAGAAAATACTGGGGGCGTGAGTGTAGGCGGAGTCACACAAGCTCCCCTTACTTTTTCCACCGTGTTAACGCGCCCCTCGATGCTCAACCAAACCAATACTACTGTAGCTCTCCCCTAAAAACCAAAATCCCAGGTTTACTCTCCTCACACACATGTTCGAAGATCGGAATATGCGTGGGTATGGGATTGGGTGAACAGCCTGCTACAGCAAAAGATACAGTGGTAGGGGCACAATTCAGGATGCCAGTCTCTGCCTGGCCACGAGCTGGATCACAGGCCTCTCTAGTTTTTAACGTGAAATTGTGAATTAAGTCTAAATTATCCGTTTCAATTAAAAAATTAACGCCCGCAGAAGTTAAATAAAAATACTCAATCCCTGGAAAAAATTTCCTCCTTCAATACATTCGAACTGCGCTGAATGCGATGATCAGGAAGAAAAATAAACTCCCGGAAATAGTGTGACACGTGACAAAAAATAAGCAATGGAATAATTAGAAATAAAGTGAGGATGAACCGCTGAGAACAAGAGGATAAATTTATTCACGACTATTTGAAATGATTAAGTGTTCAGGAATAAAAATGAAGGTGAGTCCTGATTGAAATGTATCCACCGTCGCGGATAACTTAACTGCTTGATTGATTAATTTTTCCCACGGAATGCTTGAATTGTTCGAATTATTATCAATTAAAATGGGGTAGTGAGGTGAAGTAGTTTCTGGGAATTTTTATTTTAGTGTTCGTGGTTATTCTTGCATCTTCTGATTGTCTGGCTTTAGGTGATGACGTTTTGCTTTGATTATTCGATATAATTATTTGTTAATTAACGATATTTTAAGTCCTATATTTTTAATTTGAATTTTCTTGATGACTGGAATTAATTAAATTCGAATAAATGATGAATTGCTGAGATTTCTGAGACGAAAATTCGTGAAATCCAACAGAAATGAAGTATAATTTAATTAATAAATTACAAAATGAAATTGAAATTTGTAATTTGCGATTGCAATAATATTTGCACAAGTTTGCAGAAGATTTTCACATCTAATGGAGGAAATCTGTTTCAGACTGAAATAAAGAGTTGTCTTGACGTGCCGAATCTCCTTGTCTGTCAAAACAACAACGTGAGTAGTCCGAAGACGCTGGACGAAGCCGGAATAAACGGCAATGAAGGGATGGAAATGGACTGCAGCGGGTGCGGGGAGAGCATAAGGGAGCGAACAGTCCTCTGCGTTGGGAGTAACAGTTGGCATTCGCGGTGTCTAAAATGCTCCACGTGTGCTAGACCCCTGGACGATCAGCAGTCGTGCTTTCTCAGGGAGATGCGACTGTACTGCAGGACAGACTATGCACTGTAAGTGTACTATTTTATGGGAGACGGAGAGAAGATTCTGTTGAAAAACTACTCCTCATTTTAGCGGAAACCTCAAGCCTTCAGGAATTTTTATGAGAACTCTAGTGGAAAATGCCGTCACTCACAATATTTTTTCACCGAATTTTCCAAGATGTAAACACTAAGAAAAATTCCACAATTGTTGAAAGTCAAAAGTGCACTCTATGCCAGCACGCAATTGTTAATTATTCTAGTTCTCATGCGCAAGTACAGGACTATGTTTCTTTTTCTGATATGAATTGACTTCACTTTCTCTCACTTTGGATTAAAAATCGACCAAATGATCCAACGGACTTAAGGTATATCCCAAACTAATAGCACCCAAAAGTTAGTCCCCATGGATTTCCGGAAGGAATTCTAAATGATTCTTAATTTATTGCATTCTCGTAAGTTATTGAGTTTTTCTACAGGGGAAGAAATGTTCAGTAAAAATTATGCAACTCACAATTCGCTCATAGATTACGGAATCGACTCAGAAAATTTAAGTGAAGGTATCGTGATTTTTCAGAGGGGATTCAGGTAAAAATTACGGAACGCTCTGGAAAAATTCTGTGACAGTTCCGTAAAATCTCCTACAACCACATTTCGCTCCGGAATTACGGAAAAGATACGTAATTTTTATTGAATATTTCTATCCGTGTATCCTCGTATGTTGTTGATGAAGGCAACAATAACTGTTTGAATCAAATAAGCAATTATTTGTCAATTGTTTGATTCGAATGAGAAATTATTTTAAGAACTTTTAATTTATTGGAGTTCAATAAAGTTCAAAAAGTCAATGGAATTTCAAGCAAAGTACTAACTTTTTTGCGGCACAAAGTTGAAAATTTCACAATTTACATGAATTTTCCCGGAATAATGAAACTGAAATTTACAATTCCCACGGATTTTTCCAGGAAATTATGAATTTTCAATGTCAAAATTCCTTGAAATTTCAGTGGAAATGTCACTGGTCACAAATTTCCAAGACTCTTACCAGAAATTTCAGTGCCTTAAGATCATAATAGTCCAAATACCGATCAAAATGAAATGAATTCAATTGAATTCAATGAATTAAAAAATTCAATGAATCAAATTTTAAAAAAATAAAATTAAATAAAAATAAAAATAAAAAAAATTGAATTTTAAATTTAATTTCAAATAGTTCATCAAATTTCTCTAAGTTCTTCATTGACTCAAAAAAGTTGCCAGTAGCGGAACTTTGAAACAGTTATAAAGCTTGAAGAAATGTTCAATTTTTTGATTTTTTCAAACCCGTGCCAATGTGAATTTCCCAAGAATTCTAGTTGTAATCCTCAAGTGCACGCCTCTTTCGCACTAACGACTGAATAATTCTCCCACTTATAAATAAATTGTTTTCACTTTCTCTCACTTGAAAACCGACCAAACGAATCATTGAACAGGATCAAATACCATTCAAACCAATAAACATTCTCCTTTTCCCGCCAGAAGAAATACCTTCTGAGACACATGAGAATATTTTCACAAGCACTCCCCCCGAGTAATCAATTACACTCGTCCCCCCCCCCCCCCCCCCCCCNCCCGTCTCGTAGCCCATTGCAATGAGACTCGCCGGCTATCAGTCCAATCAAAACATGTGGACTGAAAGAACATTGAATGACGTTGAAAAGTCTCCACGGAAAAGTTCAGCCATGAATAAGATACATATATGCGTGTGCCCTCTGTCAATACAATGTGAACGGTTTTTGAGATGCATGGACCTCACACTGAAGACTCCTTCGTCTGTCCTCGTTTCACATGAGTGTGCCGAGTCACGGGGGGGACTCAAGGGGCATATACATACAACAGTGTCAGTGGAGAAGGTGGAATTCGCTTCGTAAGGGCCCGCACGCGGACTCAGCTGTGATCTCCTCGCCGTTGAGTTCTTCGGCGCACATAAGTACGGGAGAGAGAGGAGTCGCTTTCAAGCGTGAGAGGCCGCCTCTTAAATTAATAAATATCACTCTTTCTCTCGTTCTTACACATGTCACTTCACACCCTTTCACAATTTTTTTTTCGATTGGATTCAATGAAAAATATTTTCCGCATTCATTCTTGCGCAATCTTACGAAAACATTTGAGTGGCATTATTTTTTTGGAAATAATGAGCAGATTTTTACTTTCATCGACAAGTTAAAAGAACGATTCAATGTATTGAGGTGAAACGATTAGTTATTGTTAATGAATGGATTTGCCTGGAGACGAGGGTCTATTCGGTCTCACCAAGTGCTCATTCGTTAATAGTTAACAAATACTAGTTAGCAAATTGAGGGGTCTTGTTTGACTCGATTTCCACTTTTCAAGTGAATCATTTGTTAACTATTACACGGAGAGAAATATTCAATAAAAATTACGTATCTTCTCCATAATTCCGGAGCGAAAAGTAGTTTTAGGAAATTTTACGGAAGTGTCACGGACTTCTTTCAGAGGGTTCCGTAATTTTTATCTGAATATCCTGTGAAAAATTACGATAACGTCACTTAAATTTTCTGAGTTGATTCCATAATCGGTGAGCAAATTGTGAGTTGCGTAATTTTTACTGAATATTTTTTTTGATTTCGTATTAATTATTGAAGAGAAGAAATGATGCACTATCGTTGACAAAACAATTCCTAGAAACCGCGGGTTGATGTAATTTTGAAAAAGCCGATGGACTTAATCCCCGAGTGACTTATAGGACCAACCCCACGAGAGAACAAATGAATAAATTAGGGCGGGGCGGTTTGGTAGCTCGTCTGTACCAGCCCTCGAAGATTTATAGATATCCCCGCGGCGGTGCTAGAGGCTTTATACACACATTCATACTCACAGTGAAGGCATCCTCGTGATGTTGCATCCTCCGATGGTGCGGAGTGAGCATACATATGCATATGCGCTTTTTTAGTCTGTCTTTAAGAGTTTCATGAGGGGTCGCGGCGTTCGTTTATGTACGCGAATTTTGTAGATAGCAAAGCTCCATTGCACGGAGGAAAATATGGAATAGGAATATCTGAGTTGAAAAATTTGGTCTTAAGTCAACTCAGTGAAAGGGTTTACCCAAAAAAAAATAATACCTTATTTTACGATTTCAATGAACTTAGATTAAGATTTTCAAAAGTCGCAATTTAAGACTTTGAGATCTCAATTAAGCCTTCTGAACTAGTGATGCCGCGAGACATTTCACGAGACATCACGAGACAATACTTTCGAGGGATTGTCTCGGTCTTTATGAACACGGAAAATTTTGGGCTCATCTCAGTCTTGAAATGCGCAGTATCAACTCGTCTCGTGATGACTCCGAGTCAATTTATCTCATGTCGGATTCAAGTTTTTCGCGTTTTTTATATGTAGAAAACCGAGACGAGACAAGCCGAGACAAAAACCGAGATTTTACATTAGAAAACACGAAAAACTTGAGACCGAGATGAGATAAATTGACTCGGAGTCATCACAAGAGGAGGCGATACTGCGTATTTCGAGACTGAGACGAGAGCAGCGATTTTCCTGTTCATTGAGACCGAAATGATCTCTCCAAAGTTTTGTCTCGTAAAGTGTCTCGCGGCATCACTATTCTGAACGTGTTAAGTTGGGACTTCAGATGGTCTGAATTTGAGATTTGTATAGGTTCAAACTGATACTTTTGAATACCTCTACTTGGAATTTTTCTTTACGAGAAGTTCTGAAAGTCTCAACTTTAGATTTTTGAAAGTCTCAATTTGAAACCTTTAAAAGTCTAAATTGGAGATCATAATTCTCAAAATAAAGCTTGTTTTTTTAGCTCAAGTATTTCATATCACGTTAGTCTGTATTTAAGGTGTATCACAAGAAAATACCACCCAAAAATTAGTCCCTATGGATTTGCAGAAAAAATTCTAAATGACTTAATTCATGAATAAAACACATTGGCATTCTCATAAATTATTAAATTTTTCAATCTTCATGTCTGTAGTGAAGTGGTAAACTAGGACAAGTGCAAAAATGAAACTTTTTCTTCATCCATCCTTCGATGCAAGCAGTAGAAAATGTTTCAAAAAAATTGCACTTATCCTAGTTTACCACTTCACTACAGATATATTGTTGATGAAGGCACCCGTAACTGTTTGAATGAAATAAGAAATGATTTCACGAAATTTCCGTTTTTTAGAGTTAAATATCGTGGAACCTACGCACTATAAAATTTTACAAAAAATTTGCCCTATTCGGAATTTATCAATCTACCATGGATTCGTTTTTTAAAAACATTGTTAGAACCATTTTCTCATAAGATTGAAAAACTGACTGCGAGGGGGAGCCATAACCCCCGTTTGGCGGATGCCTCGCGTGTTAAAAGCCCGCATTTCATTATTTGTTATCTCCTAAACTCTGTAGCACAGCTAGTTAGAATTTTTTTCAATAGCTGCGAAAATTATAAACATTATCTATGGAAGACATGGGAATAATCGTCGGAAAAACCTGTTTTCTAGGGACATACCTTAATCTTGTCTAATGGTCCAATAGGCCTGACCTGGCCTCAATAGGTTCCTGACCAAGCGTGAGATAAATTCGAAAACAATTTATTTATGAATAAAAAAATTATTCATTCGTGAATGATAAAAAGGGGAGTTATAGTCATGTTTTTTGAAGATGAAAACTAAAGTTGCTAGTGATTCTGTGCTGGCCCAAATGCAGCTTTGATTTCTAACAATTGGTGAACTTTTCCTTGTTTTTACTTATTAAAAAATTTTTTTTGGCAGAGATTTTTCCAAGTCCAACAATTGACCATTTTTTTTCAAATTCCACAACTGAAAATATCTCAGAGTATTGGGTCTATCTTTCGAAACACTGCATTGGGTTAATTACCAAATTGAAATTTTTTCCATGTTTCACAACTGAACACATTTCAAAGTTCCACGACTTCACGGAGAGAAATATTCAGTAAAAATTACATAATAATTTACGTAATCCGCAGTGGGGAATCGTTTTCCGGCAATTTTTATAGGAATGGAAGAGAAGAAATCTGAAACGTTCAGTGAATTTTCAGGTTTATCACTGAACAAAGTACGAAATTGTCACGTAATCTTTCCCGAAGAAGTAAAATCTTACAGAAACGTGTCGACTTATTATGCCTCCAAAATAAAAAATTCTTGAACGTTCAACAATTTTTATGAATCTGGTGAGTTATTTCTGCGTTCCGTTCCTTAAAATTTCTCAATCGTTGGGGAAAAATTACGGAACGACTTGCCCCCACAGCGGTGAGTCATCAGACGGGTGGTTAATTTTTACGGAACAAATCGTAGAATTTACGTGGCGATTCGTACAATTTCAGTTCCGACTCAAACTTTTTATTGAATTTTACTTCGCTCGCAGATCACGTTTTGAACCGTAATTTTTACGTTTTATTTCTGGTAATTTTTATTGAATTTTGCTCTCCGTGCAACAATTGATTATTTCTTGAAGTTTCACAACTGAAAATATTTCAAACTATTTGCTCGATCCTCCGAGAAGCTGCATTGGGTTAAACCCTAAATTCTTCAACTCTAGTAGAAACCGAAAAAAAATTGATGGATCAAAATACGAACAATACACCAGCCACAACGGACTCCTAGGCGTGTCCCCGATCTGACATTGATTAACATAATCGATAGTCGAAAGTATAGCCCCCGATGACTCTGCAATAGTCTCGAGACACCGCGCGCATTTTTTCGACTTACCATATTTTTCCATACAATGCAAAACGTCAAATTAAAGGTGATACGCGTGTGCGCTTAAAAATGATAATGAGATAATAAAGGCGATAGTTATTGTAGCCCCACATGACTAAGTTGTACAAGTTATCTGATCTGCTTCCGGAGGTTCGATAACAATCCCGGACCGACGACCCTTTGCGAGCAATGTTTATGTTCCCGATTGGAATGAGACATGGAGTAGTATGTTAATGAGGCAGCTCGCCAGTGGCTAGGTCGGTCCCTTCTCTCAAAATGTTGTTCTACCTTATTGGTTCTTTGGGCAATTCAACTTGGACACGAAAATTAACGGTCTTGGCGAATAACCGCTTATCGTTACGGGCTCATAATTCGTTTTTTAGTATAAACATTTCAGGGTGGGTGTCGATGGCGTTTTGTATTAAATCACTATGTGCATGAGAATAATCAACTATACGAAATTAATTGAGTTCATAAATTGGATTGTTCATGTAAATATCTCCCCGCCTTCATTATACTTTATTTTCAAAAATTAAATGTTTCGTTGCGAATTTTTTGTTATGATCTCTTGCGCAATTTGAGTGGATAATTACATAAATTTGATTATTTTCATAATTTTCAGGGACTTTCTCACGAAATTATAGTTTCTCAATAAATTTACGATGAAAAAAATTATTAGTGAAAATTGAAAGAAAATTCCGTAGTTTTTCAGATGAAGAAATGAAAAATAACAATTTTTCATTAGCTATAAAGATCGTTTTCGTAATCTGTTTTGTCGAAAAAATATGTTGCACAACCTTTCAAGTAAAATAAATCACTATATGTATGCGAATAATCAACTATACGAAATTAATCGAATTCATAAATTGAATTGTTCATGTAGATATTTCCCCGCCTTCATTCTACTTTATTTTTCTAAATTAAATGTTTTTTGCAATTGGATTGGCAATTACATAAACTTGACTATTTTCATAATTTTCAAGGAATTTTTTTTTTAAAGGGAAAATCCACTTGCATTTCCCACAAAATTCTAGTTCTCAATAAATTAGAAGATAAACGAAACTATTAGTGAATTAATTAACGAAACTAATGAACGTTAATTAATTAATAAACAAAATTATTAATGAATATTTCTCACATAATTAGTTTTCCAAAAATTATTAAAATGAAAGAAAATCGTGAGAAAAATTCCACAATTTCCGAATTAAAAATAAAATTTAAAAAAAAATTGTTCACTAGTTCAAAAGATCATTATTCTAACCCACTTGCTCCAAAAATATGTTGCAGAACCTTCGGAGCAAAATGTTCGAAATGCGATAGAAGTATAGGCGCCGGGGACTGGGTGAGACGCGCGAAAGATCGTGTGTATCACTTAGCATGTTTCGCCTGTGATGCCTGTTCTCGTCAACTATCGACGGGCGAGCAATTTGCTTTATTGGAGTCAAGATTATTATGTAAGATTCATTACCTCGATGTTGTGGAGGGAAACAACACTTCATCGTCCGAAGACTGTGATTCCGAGAACGGAGGTAAGAGTAGTAAAACGAAAAGAGTCAGAACGACGTTCACGGAGGAGCAGCTATCGGTACTGCAGGCTAATTTCCAGTTGGATAGTAATCCAGATGGGCAAGATTTGGAGAGAATAGCACATGTGACGGGATTGAGCAAGCGAGTCACGCAAGTTTGGTTCCAGAACTCGAGAGCGAGGCAGAAAAAGCACAGTGGGAAGATCAAATCAGGTAAGGCTCGAGCTACTTATGTCGGGACTCCCCTCTTCTTCAATGGGTGGGCGCGAGCAATTTCAGGACTCCCGTTTTCTAAACACTTACGCAGGGTGTCCCAAAACGGATCTGCCATGTCGTGAGGGTAGCCCGAGGGGTTATTTGGAGACGAAAACTGATGAAAATTTTGTCTTCGACGCTTTGTTTACAAGTTATCAAGAAAAAAGGACAGCCAATCAAACGCTATTCCCCGATAGAGAGATCATACCCCCTTTCCCATTTAAGGCGGAGGGATGATGGCATTGAATGTCCAATCGATTCCAATCAATTTCATTTCTTGATATTGAATGAGAGGGGAGAGATAAATTTTTTACGTTGACTCTGATTTTTGGAGTCACATTGCGTTTAGGAACCAAATGACTCGCCGCGTTGAAATTCATTGCGGGTTTTCTCACCCGGGTATGATGATAGAAGAACAATTTTTTCAGATCATTGTGCATTAAATGCCCAATCGATTGACATCATTTCATTCCTCCAGTGAAGTGAGAGAGGAGATATGAATTTTCAAAAAGAGAGTGATTTGTCGTGGATTTTTGCTTTCTTGACGAATGACTCCTTAATGAAGCGCCGGAGACTAAACCTTAGGTTTTTGTCTCCAAACATGATGATCAAGACTTTAAATTGTTAGATCGCACCATTCTACGCATGTGAGGCAACGAACTTACCCACTGCGCCAAGCCACCGGGAAAATAGTTTTTTTTCTCAGTGCACAGTCCCAAAATCCCCATCAAGTCAAGTATGTATTAAACAATTATTTTCCAAATTCAGTACACCACTCCCCACTGCAACATCACCCTGGCGACCTCTATCCCGGTAACATGGTGAGCGGTTACTTCGGCGGCTACCAAGGTGGTAGTGCTGGCAGTGAGAGCCCAGGGAGTCCAATGACTCCACTGACACCTCTAACCCCGATAACCCCTACGACGCCAACCCACCTCCAGCAGCCCCAGTTCTGCCACCAAGGGGGATAATTTACGACCCTCATGAGGAAGCCCCAGTCGTATCGCTATACATTCCTCAAGGATTTCTCTTCAGGTCTTTCAACAATTCGATCTCTCGCAGGTATAGTTTCTCATGAATAACAAAGGATCACCCCGAGAAACTAATCTAGTTCTTCAAGAGTTTTTCGTGTAAATATGTGTCTTTTCAAACCGGTTTTGTGTAAATGCCTAGTAAATTTAATTTACCCAGTCTTCGAGATCTCATGATTTATGCCGATGTAAATACTCTTCACTTGGCCGATACGCTACCGCGTATCTCGATATAGATTCAGAAAATTGTTCTTAATTGAGAAAAGCTTATTGTAGTGTCAATGAAATTGACAGAAGATGAATACTTATGTTTATAAATGTTTTTACTCCCTCAATCGTCGTTTGTATCACGAATATTCACAATGTCATAAAACAAAAAATGATACTGTTACAAATAAAAATGAATACACCCCTTGTTAATACTCATCTTCACGAAAAAATTGAATAATTGAGAATATGAAATTTCTATTTTCAACTTTGGACACAAGATAAGTGATCACTCCGAGAAATTAAACTAGTTCTTCAAGAGTTTTTTATGTAAATATGTCTTTTCGAGATGGCATGATTTATGCTGATTATACTCTTCACTTGGCCGATGCGCTACCGCGTATCTCGATATAGATTCAGAAAATTGTTTTTAATGGAAAAAAGCTTATCGCAGTGTCAATGAAATTGACAGAAGATGAATGCTTGTATTTGTAAATGTATTTTCTCATTCAATCGTCGTTTGTATCACGAATATTCACAATGTCATAAAACAAAAAATGATACTGTTACAAATAAAAATGATTACAGCCACGGTTAATACTCATCTTCACGTTATTTGTGTACAAATTTTCTAGGAAAAAATTGAATAATTGAGGATATGAAATTTCTATTTTCAACTCTGGACACAAGATAAGTGATCCCTCCGAGAAATTAATCTAGTTCTTCAAGAGTTTTTCGTGTAAATATGTGTCTTTTCACACCGGTTTTGTATAAATGTCTAGTGAATTTAATTTACCCAGTCTTCGAGATCTCATGATTTATGCCGACGCAAATACTATTTACTTGGTCCATACGCTACCGCGTATCTCGAAATAAATTCAGAAAATTGTTTTTAATTGGGAAAAGATTATCGCAGTGTCAATAAAATTGACAGAAGGAACGCTTGTATTTGTAAATGTATTTTCTCCTGTTCAAATCATCATTTGTCTCCCCAAAATTTACAATGCTATAAAATAAAAAATCGTACTGTTACAAATAAAAATGATTACAGCCACGGTTAATACTCATCTTCACGTTATTTGTGTACAAATTGTCTAGGAAAAAATTGAATAATTGAGGATATGAAATTTCTATTTTCAACTCTGGACACAAAATAAGTGATCACTCCAAGAAATTAATCTAGCTCTTCAAGAGTTTTTTGTGTAAATATGTGTCTTTTCACACCGGTTTTGTATAAATGTCTAGTGAATTTAATTTACCCAGTCTTCGAGATCTCATGATTTATGCCGACGCAAATACTATTTACTTGGTCCATACGCTACCGCGTATCTCGAAATAAATTCAGAAAATTGTTTTTAATTGGGAAAAGATTATCGCAGTGTCAATAAAATTGACAGAAGGAACGCTTGTATTTGTAAATGTATTTTCTCCTGTTCAAATCATCATTTGTCTCCCCAAAATTTACAATGTTATAAAATAAAAAATCGTACTATTACAAATAAAAATGATTACACCCACTGTTAATACTCACCTTTACGTTATTTTTGTACAAACCCCCAAGTGAATAAAACAAATAATTGAGGATAAGGAGTCTCTATTTTCAACTTTAGACACAAGATAAGTGCAGTGTATATTTCGATAACTAATTAGTTTACAATATTTACATGACAGTGTTATCTAGAGTAATAACTCTCACCTGGATTTCACTGGCGGCCCGACGTGAAGACCATTGAAATATTAAAAAAAAAATAGTGACAACTTTCGGCTCACCTCAACACTGGTTTTTTGTGCTTGCCAATTTTAAAATTCATCTACGTACACGTATTTTGATTACAGAGAGAACTAAGCACAAGCATAATTTGATGAGTCTGTTAGAAATCTATTTCTCGAATATTACTCAGCGGTCGCACCGTAAAAACGGTTATTACTGCGGGGCATTTTCACACAAGTCTCTCTGAGCTTTCGGCGAATATCACTTGGAAGTCCGGATACGTTTGGGAGATCCTTAATTACACACCAAAGCTCCTCATCAGCGCCGAAACTTTAATTTAGAGGAAATACTGAGAGTATATTTACAACAGAGGTTTGATGAAGGGTTCACACTTCGTTTGGCATCGTGAGCATCATGGAGTCCTGAGACAATTCGTCCATGGACTGTTCTGAACCTGAAACAATAAGGATAGTGATTCATTCCATTGGGAAATTTGATACTCAAAGTTGAAAGATATTCACTGTTGAAAATTTTTTGGTGAAATTTACCGAACGATTCTCGAAATTGATCACATTCAAGGAATTTCATCATTGAAGTTTTAAATAGCGAATTTCAGTTCAATTATTTCATGAAAACTAATAGATAGACAAAAAATTCAGGTAAGTACATTCTTGAATTTACAGTTAATAATGAATTCAGCGGAATTTGGTACTGAATATTAATTAAATTCCCGGTACACCTGTGGCAAATTTCATCATAAATGATTGTTGCATTGAAATTCCAAGGAATTTCATGATTAAAAATTTGACATTTCATGGAAAATCAAAGAAAGCTTTAAATTTGAGTTCAATTATTCGATGAAAATTGATACAAATGAAGAAAATTCAGGTAAATACCTTCCTAAATTCATTACTAATGAGAAATTTAGTGGAATTTGGTACTGAGTATCCAGTCAATTTGCGGTATACTTCTTAGAAACTTTCATCAAGTGACTGTTAGATTGAAATTCTATAAAATTCCATGATTGAAAATTCAACATTTTATGAACAATTAATGAAAGCTCTAATGTCGAGTTCAATTATTCCATGAAATTTGATACAAATGAGGACAATTCGGGTAAATACATTTCTGAATTTTCAATTAACCAACAATTCAACGTAATTTATTACTAAATAGTCAAGTTTTGATTGACAATTCAACTAATTTTGGGAATTCTCATCTTTCTGCTGCTCATAAATTTGGACTAAATCGAACTCAACAGCACTCTCCTAAAAATTACCAGTCGCCTATCCAAGGAATTTCTTTTTTTTTTAATAGTGTTCAATAATTGAGAAGTTGAATGTTCGATTTACCATGATTGTGGTAGATAGAGGGAGTTGGGCTTTTGCACGCCGCCGGGCTTAATTGGGTCTGATGTCCCTGATTCTGCTGGTGGTGTTGTTGGTGCTGAAAGGAATATGTCAAATGCAGATTTATGTGCCGTCCAAAATCACCAGGTGACGCTGTAGAATTTGGTGGCGACTGATGTGCTAAATTAACAGGGGAATAAATACATTCATACATCTATTGCAATTTCAATGTCAACACATGAAAAACAATGAGGATCAATCAGGATGGTTTGATTCACCTTTTTTCGGTCTGGATTACTCCCATAAGGGGATATTTATCAATACCTATGGATGCAAGTGCAGAAAAATTCTAGAGAAATCCTCAGTTGACAAATTTGCTTTTGGTTCAATTCATTCATAAATAAAAAACAATTATTCATTTAATGATAAAAAGAGAGGACAGCCATGGATGACGTACGGATGAAAACTGCAATGATTCTTAACGGATTTTTTCGAATCCATGTGTTCTCAACGGGGCGATCTTTCAATTAACGACATTTCAACTACTGAAACTTGAATCAATACAGCACAAATAAATGATGTTCTCAGAAAATTTATGCCAAAATTTCGTAACACCTCAACGATCAAACGGTATTTCATTGATTTTTATTTATGTGTGTATTGAGTTATCCATTAAAGCAATCATTGTTTTTTTGTTCAGCATTATTTATTGAATTGTGCGTCCACAAAAAATCAAAAGATAGTAAAAAAAAAGTTAATTGAGAATTATATTTAAAATTCAAAATAAATTATCAACATTAAATTATTAATAAACTATGGATTTTCAGCAATTATTAATTGAAAGAAAAAATCGTTGTTATATCACATTAATTATTGATGGGTCAGTTAAGTTGTTGAATTGAGTTGGATTACGTTGTCTGCTAAAAAGCAAACAAAAAAATGAAATAAAAATGGAAAAATTTTGGTTAATTACTGAAAATGTAATGATTTAAATGAAATCAGTTGATCTGTCGTAGTTGAAACACCAACATCGTAATTGAAAAGACGTGCTATCGATTTTTTCGAGTATAAGTATCGATTACCCCTCCAATTTCGACAACTATAAATGTTCAAAGTCTACAGAGAACTTAATTCTTAAAAGAATTAGAAAAACAGTGAGCGCATTTTGAGCGTATTTGGCCTATCGTCCTATCCTCACTAGGCATACCAAAGTGGATATCTCAGACCAAAAGCCGTCCAAATTATTCAACTCGGTTTCGATTCGTCCTCATCATTTTTCACATAACCTTCTCTAAAAAAATATTCTTACTATGTTGACCCTTCATCTTCCCCGTGTGTAAATGTTTTTTCTGTCTCGCTCTAGAATTTTGGAACCAAACCTGAGTAACCCTTTTACTCAGTCCCGTAACATGCGCTATCCTCTCTAAATCCTGACCATCGGGATTGCTGTCCAACTGAAAGTTCGCCTGAAGAACGGACAACTGTTCCTCAGTGAACGTCGTTCTCACTCTCTTCGCTTTATTTCCACCCTTATGTCCGCTCTCCGAGTCGCCACCTTCTGCGTGAAATACAGATTCTCAACAACACTGGGAGAAAAAATTAGTTCGACCGAAAAATTATATGTTCCACGTGAGAATAAGAGTTACGCGAGGGAAATTAATCGACTTGATGCAAGGATGGTTACGATCTTTCACAAAAATTCAATTTTTGTCATGATCATTAGAGATATTCCTAAAGTAAGAAATTTACTGAAAGGCTAATGAAAGTCTATTTCATGAAAGTCTAACGAAAACTCTAATGAAATTTTTGTCTCCGGCGCATCGCTAACCCTAGTCTGGTCACCGAATGCGACCCTCCGATTGGTCACACCCGCGAGGATTCCCCGGGGTGTTATTTAGGCTTCAGCGTTGCCGAATTCACTCTACACTGCCCGGGCGCGTTTAACGAGTTTCCGGCAACGTCGCTTCATGGACAATTTCATTCAAAATGGGAAAAAATACTTCAACTGCTCGAAATGATTTGTTTTCTTTAGGAATTTTGGGAAATATGTTGTTCTAAAAACTACTATAATTTTTTAGACACTTCAATTGACAAAGTCAATTTTTTTTCAATTTTTCCGGTTAGCCAGTCAATTGTAATTAAAGAAATACGACGCGTGGCGGGGTTTCCCTTATAGGGTGACCAATCTAGGCTTAAGGAGTGATTCGTCAACAAAGCAAAAATTCACAGGAAATCACCTTTTTTTGGAAAATTCATGTCCTCTCTCCTTTCGGCTGAAGGAACGAAAATGATGGCAATCGATTGGGTATTTAATGCACAATGATCTGAAGAAAATTGTTCTTCTATCATCATACCCGGGGGAGAAAACCCGCAATGAATTTCAACGCGGCGTCAGAGTCATTTGGTTCCTAAACGCAATGTAACCTTAAAAATCAGAGTCAACGTAAAAAATTCATATCTCCACTCTCATTCGATATCAAGAAATGAAATTGATTGGAATCGATTGGCCATTCAATGCCCTCACCCCTCCGCCTTGAATGGGAAAGGGGGTATGATCTCTCTATCGGGGAATAGCGTTTCATTGACTGTCCTTTTTTCTTGATAACTTGTAAACAAAGCGCCGGAGACAAAAGTTTCATCAGAGTTTTTCGTCTCCAAATAACCCCCCGCGCTACCCTCACGACATATCAGATCGTTTTGGGACACCCTGTACACTGGAGCCTCACATAATCCCCTACAGAACTAATGTATTTACCCGAAATCCGTATAAATTTCTAACGTGAAAAAATTCACAGAGGCATTCAACATGACAAAATAAAATTCAATTCAATTCTCCTGCGTCGAGCATGTAATTTTTCCGCAGAATTAATTTTTTCTTTCAGTGAATATACACCATTCAATTAATAGCCCATCAAAGCGTGAGAGATCTCACCATCAGACGAGGTGTTGTTGCCCTCAACGACATCAAGATAGTGGGCCTTGCATAGTAATCGGGCATCAAGCAGAGCGAATTGTTCACCAGTCGAGAGTTGACGTGAACACGCGTCGCAAGCAAAACATGCCAAGTGGTAGACCCTCTCCCTTGCTCTTCTAACCCAATCACCAGCGCTCACACTCCTCCCGCATTTAGCGCATTTAGCACCAAACGCCCTACAACATGCGAAACAGGAAAAAGATAATAAACTTGGGGAATTGGTGATAAATTCATCGGCTCCATCGGGCGAAAATAGTCTTATATTTGAGATTAATATATTCAAAGGCAGAATGTAATTAACCGTGGGAGATAAATCGCTGACTGGGTGGTTTGAACCGTCGCACTGATACATATTTGATTAGTCAATCTTCAATACATGTTGATCGCACAGGGATTAAATAACGATAGTTGGGGATCCACCGGTAATTATCGTTCTTCATTGAATATATTATATGTATTAGTTTATAAATATGTATTGATATTGCAACACTGGTCACAATTTTTGGAGGAATTTTTCGATGGGCTTATTGAAAATGTTTATCAATTCAGTAAAATGGTTCAAGTTTTTTTACGATTGTCCCCACGTTTTTTTTACAGATAATGTTTATAATATTATCCAGTTGTTGACAAAAATTCTAACTAGCCGTACTATGCAGTTTAGTACTTTTTTTGTCATTATATCATGTGCGTGGAAACCAAAATTCAAGTCAATCGATCAAAAATACTGATAACGGGACTTAAAGATTTTATGTCTGTTCAGCCACATGTCATCATTGCAAAAAATTGAAACTTGATTTTTCTCATTTTTTGAGTGTAAACAATAGGCACCAAAATCATCTGTATGATAGAGACAACCCCCTGCAACTTTCAAATTTCAACGCAGTCTCCTCTTAAGGATATCCAAGTACTTTGGCTATTTTTTTTTCTCCTGAAATGTTTTTCTACGTTTGTAGTTAAAAATCAGAGCTTTCATTTGAGCCCCATTTGATCCTAAGTTACCGGACATTTTCCAATGATTTTATTATTTAAACTTTGCAGGTCTGAATTTGAATTTCGATATTGAACCGTTAGAAAACATTTTAAAAATCTGAAAAAAAATAGAACGTTTACTTTTGGAGGAAGATTGATGAAATAATTTAAAAAGTGCAATTTTTGAAAATTGCGAGCATTCTCTATAATTTATAAACAATGAATGAATTAAATTGAATTATTATTCTTTTATGTTTGAAACGATAATAATTCAGTGCAAAATGTAATTTAAATGACGCTGAATATTCACGATTTTTTAAAAATTTTCTTAAGCAATTTACTTCACAAACTTGCTGATTAAAAATGGTTAAATCTATAGTGTGGTCTGTACCAAACTGTAAAAGATACTTGAATATCCTTAAGAGTTAAAGTAGGTTGGAGAATCCTCGTCTCGTTGCCGCTATGAAATCCAAAATTTATTTCTTTTTTCCTAAATCAAATTATCATTGACTATTGGCCAGTTTTTCACGAATATCTCGGAATCTAAAAGAGATAGAAAAATTTTTGTCACTACCTTTGTTATGACCCTCAATTGACTCTACAAAAAAGGTAATGAGAAAAATTTTGCTACTCCCTTTAGGCTCCGAGATATTCAACGAAAACTGACCGAAAGGCGAAATCGACTTGACCCGGTTTACCACTTCGCTACTGAAATTCAATCCCGCTCTCCATAAAATTACATCGAATGACGATTTCATCTTAAACTGAATCCAAATCCAAAAAATTAAAAATCCCCACGCAACTATTACCCAAATTCCCCGAAATTTCCAATAGTCTATGAACAGATAGAGCTGGTCAAATCGAAAAAAAAAAAAACGAAAAATCGAAAAAAAAGACTGCACCGTTGTCAACAGTAGCCTGGCCTGGCTTGTAGAGCCCTCCGAGCAACAGGGGCTAGCACGCACGTATACCGATATGTTGCATCTCCTCCACAGATGAATGGTTCGACGAGTTTTATGCACTACCGTAGAGCGCCTGTCTCTCCCGCCAATACCTTATTTTATTTTTGTCTCATTTAGAATATAGCCAGAGGAAAAGAGAGGTAAACGAGCGGTTGAGCCGCTGGTGGGCTTGGTAATTAAACAACGAACTAGCGGCCATTAGCCCATTATCATATTCATGAACACGGAAAGTGCATCCCCGATTGCAACCAAGCCGAGGACTTCTGTCACTCGGTATACAACCTACCGCGTTTATTATACCTCTCGCCTCCTTCTCCCTTTCGTTTTATCCCCCATCGCATTTTATTTTTCACATTTCGCTCGCCGAACATTTTGCTTTTCTCGATTCATACCCTGAGAGAAAAACAAACATGTTGTCAAACAAATCTTGTTTGGGCCAACAAAATCGCTAGTTGAAAATTGCCAAAAAAGAATTTGTTTGTTTCGAATTTGAAAGTCTCAAACATGAATAATTGCTCTGCTTTCGACAGCAACGAAATATTTGGCTCAAGAAGCGGATAATTCACACCAGACGGCGCCTTTTCAGGATGGAAATATCTGATATAGAGAAAAATTTATCAACAAATATTTTTTCCCTAAGTTACAAGATTGCTATCATATCATTATTGTTTCATTTAAGGGTTCATTTCTTGTCTGCAATTATTAGACAATCGAAACGAAAAACTACTATCCCTTGTTCCACATAAAACAAAGATTTTTCGGGAGCAAAATACATATGGGAGTATCGAATAACGAAGGAGTAGTGCTAGAAATGATATTTCTTGCGTGTACAGAGAATGCAATTTTTTTTGAACTACTAAATCTATTTTAGCGACAAAAATTTTTCATTCCGGCGCACTCTCTGCATGTTTGGCACAAAAAAATCCTTTTTTGATCATTTTCAAAAAAATATTTTCTTGGCACAAGTAAGACTTGTTTGAGAACTTTGTCGTTTTTCTCTCAGTGTACGAGTGGGTCTTCATGGTTAAAGCATATTTCCTTTATTCTATTTTAAAAAATTGATCATCCGCTGGGCCGAGTTCTTAGCGTTTGTCATTGTCTTGCTGAATATTGTTCGTGTGGGCGAATCCTCCCGAGTTTGATGCGACACCCACACATATGGAATGGGGATTTGAATTTTGAAACGACTCGGAGAGGAAATTATCAGAAATGACGGGGTCCTTCTGTCACTCAAGGAAATAATTCTATTAGATACTTCGGACATTCTGGTGACATGCATAAAATAGGCTAGTGTACGTCACGCGGAGGAGGGAAATGTAAAAATTACGTGGCGAATTCCTCAGGACCTCACGCATTACATGTCATTCGGGGGTCCGATGTTACCTACAGGACTGTTGACAATTTTTGGATGACATTTCTGATCGACTTTTCGGGAATGTTTAGCGAGTGACGAATATTTCGAGAAATTTTGCCAGTGATAATTCGCGAATTGATGAGAGAATTAAGAGGAACTGTAAATTTCTGTTCATTTACTGCATGGAAATTTATGGAAACCAGGAAAATGCAGGTGAATGTGTTTTCGGATTTTTAAGCGGTAAAATTCAGCGGAATTTGATAGACAATATTTAGGTTTTGTTCAACTTCTTGTTACTTTCTTGAGCAAAAATTTGAAATTGCATAATTGTTGTTCCCTCATGTCTCTTGAATTTTTATTTCAACTAGACCTGTGCGCGCGCTTATGCGCGCGCGTTGTGAAAATGAAGAAATCGAATTTATTAAACTTCATATACTCATAGATGTTTTATAAATATTGATAATGACTTAAAGAGAATTATGAGAATGAAGAGTGAAACCTCAATGAATAATTTTCAATCTTCGAATAATCTGATTAAAATCTGTAATTGTTGAAAAATCAGGGGAGGGTTATGAATTAATTTCCTAGAAAACTGAAAAAAATTTTTGAATTCTGCGGAAAATTTCAGTTTTCCAGATACCCGTAGATCTTCAAAGATTTTTCTCGAATTATTTGGGAAACCGGAGAATTTTTATGAATTTTGTAGACTTTAGAATTTATGTATGAAAATCTGAGAAGCAAGAATTGAGCATTTTTGTGTATGAAAAATATGAAAAAATTAAAATTTGGGAAGTGAAGAATAATTTGTGAGTTAAAAAAAATTTAGAAATACTGTTTTTTTGCTCATGATCAACAATTAGGCAATTTAGATAGGTTTTGATCTAAAGATAAACTTCACACATGAAAAAATGAACAATCCGACGGAGAAAAATTTTTTGGCATTTGAAGAACTTGAAAATACCGAGATTTTTTTTCAGCGACTACTTCACGTGACTCATTGACCAATCAGAATTGAGGATTAGCGGTCAGGCAATTTCGAGACATTTCGATACATAACAACTTCACGTTTCTCTCATCTTTAGTAAATAGGACGAGTGGATAAGATGAAAGGGTGAGAGGGGTTCACCATAATGAAAAATTTGGAATTCCCCCTAATGAGGATTCCCCCCTCCGTTTCTTATTTTAATCTTTTTCATTATCTCATTAAAATGCGATTAAAAAGAATCATGACAACTTACAGAGCATAGTCGTGCCGGCAATAAAGTCTCATCCCCCTGAGGAAGCACGAGTGCTGATCGTGCAGGGGCCGTGCACATGCACAGCATCTGAGACACCTCGAGTGCCATGTTCTACCGCCAACGCAGAGGACTGTTCTTTCGCGTACCCGTTCACCACAACCACCGCACTCCATTACACCCGGTGACACGTCCTGGCCGATTGTCGTTGTTGTTGTTGCTTTAGCCACACCATTACCCTCACATACGCCCTCAGGCGCCAACTCTTCGGCCTCTGTCTGGGAAATTGTATAATTTTAATTAACACATAGATTCGGGTGAAATGGACATTTGCCTTTTTTTCCTAAACGGCATGCGAAAAACTCGAAGATTGACATGTGTCTATCCTATCGCACAATATTTCAAACCGTTGTGCCCTCTACAGGCGAATTTCAAGAAATTTCCTAATTAAAAATGAATAATTTTATGGAAAAATGAATGAAAATGCAGATTTCAACGCAATTATTTTGAGACAATGAATGGAAATTGAGAAAATTCAGATATAGTAGATTGTGCAGTGAGGGATAAAATCAGGATTGCCGTCCGAGTCGAATAGTGTTAAAAAAATTTAGCTGAATTTTGTGGAAAGATTTGGAATTCGATTTAAGGGGAAAACGTCAATGGAATTTCAAGTTTGTCTGAAAATTCAAGTATAAAGTCCCTTTTTTTTCATGAAATTTACATAAATTTTCAAGTGAAACTGAAAATTCAGTGCCAAATTCCCCAGAATTTCCAGAGAATTAAAAATTCCCTCAAAATTCTGGGAATTCCAGAAATTTGTGAAAGAATTCCCTGAAAATTCGGAGGAACTTGGAATTTAAAAAGAGATTTCTCTAAATTTTCTTGACGTTTCATTAATTTCCCCGGAATAATTAAATTGAAATGTGCAGTTGCCACGGATTTTACCATGAAATTATGAATTTTCAATGACAAAATTCCTTGAAATTTCTGTGGAAATGTAACTTGTTAGAAATTTCCAAGAAACTTAGCGGGGAAATAATGGAGTCGTGCCCACGTGCAGAATTACTGATTATTAATTATTAATTAATCTACCTCTATAATTAATTTACCTCTCGTGGTTAGAACTGTATTTTTTCGCCTAGGCTAAAAGTTAGATTTTCTACCCGCGAAGCGAGAGGGAAATGTGTATTTTGCCCTCATCGGGGGGGAAATGAAAAATGTTTGTTTGAAATTTCCGGTATATTTTTTTAGAAATTTCCATTACATTAGTTCCAATAAAATTACAGAAAATTTCATCACAAAAAATTCAAAATTTCACTGAAAAATGAATGTAAACTCTAAACTTCGATTTAATTATTCCGTAAAAATCAATAAAAATCACGAAAATTCAGGTGAATAGATTTTTAAATCTCCCATTAATTGAAAATTCGTTAAAGTTGGGGAATTCTCGTCGCCCTGCCGCTCAAAAATTTGCAATCTGACTGAATTATCCTAAAAATTCTCAGCGAAATTCTAATTTCCTTATTTTTTGTCCACCCAAAAAATTTTCTAAAAATCATTCCAATTCCAAACTTACATCGACAATGAATTTTCTCAAACAAAAATCGCGAGCTGACAACTTAGAAATTGAAAACTCCCGAACCCTTTGACCGCCGCATACCGCTCCATCCGATTCTCATCATTCCCTCATTCAACCCATGATGGATGCTCACCTCTCGATCAATTACGACACCTACTCCCCCCGTTCCCCTCGCCACTTGAGCCAACGGTTCCCCCATCGCTCAAAAAAATAAAAATAAAAATAAAAAATTGCCTAAAATCTCATCGCGCCGAAGTACTCCAGCAGATCTACAACTTTACAGATTGTGTGACAAATCGAATGGGCTTGAGGTATATAAAGTCGCGCGCAGCTGGTCAAGCGAAAAGAGATATCCCGCTGTGCGGAAAGCCACCGATACAACTACAGTCGTTGTCATTCATCCCCACCAGTGACTGGTAAGTTAAGCTTACAGTGTTACATACCCCCGAGTCCTTTATTTTCAAATCGTTTCAATCATGAAACATCCTTCTAATTCTTTATTCAACACAAGGGGTCTCTCTCCCCTTCTGTTCGGGATGCGTATTGGAAGTGTATGTGTATGTGTGTGTGTATAGGTGTCCTGTGTGTGCATTAGAGGGCTCATGCAGTGGCTCCTCATTCAGGGCCCCTTTTGGGCAGTGTTAGCGGTCTTGTTACACAAAATTGTCACTCTTCCATTATTCGTCAATGTTCATGGACCGGAGGAGGCTCCCGGCACCCCTCTTACATTTTAAACCTCCGGGATGATGCGCTTGCGCAGCCTACGATGACTGGGGCGTGTCTGGCATAAATGGATATACGTAAGAAGTGTTGCGAGTGATTTAACGCGAGGTGAACACAGAATGTTCTGCACCCTTCGAGTGTATGCCCCTTTTCACTTGTGTAATGTATGTCTAACGCGGGGCCTGTAAAAATTGGTGAAAAATGAGGGATCCACTTCCGCTGCACTCCTTTCATGCAGAAGATGCGGTCTTTATGGAAAATTTTGATTCTTTGAATTTCAGTTCTGAAATTTTGACGGAGAGAAAAGTTGGATAACTGTTAACTAGAAAATCGTGGCACGATGACGTAAAATGTAATTCTATGAAAAAATAACTGTGGAGGATATTTTGCGATTCGTTCGGTAAAACAAACACATCTATGGATGGAAAAATTATTCTCCTATGCAGGAAAATTTTTCATACCCTTTGTAGACATTTTTCAGATAATAAAAAATGTCTGAATAAAATGAACATTTGTTTGAATTTCAAACATGAATTGAGAGGTTTAGGCACCTGTTCGTCTGAAATTCAGACAAATTTTTATTTGATTCAGACGTTTTTTAGTGTCGGAAAAATGTCTACAAGCGACTTGTGAAATTCAGATATTCTTTTCTGCTGTGCGGGGACGAATGGAAATTAAATTTCATCTTCAAATTAAACACATTTCAAATTTAGTGGATGTTGAATTTGATTTTAAAAAGAAAATCGCAAAATTTCAAATGAAATTTCAAAATTTTGAGCAGCCGGGTGATGAGAATTCCTTGAATTACTTCACAGAGAAAGGAAGTTTAATTTTTTCATCACGTTGTGCGAAAAAGTGATTTTTTTGGCGCGCTTCGCGTGCCTAAAACGGCCCTTTTCCGCACATTGTGATGAAAAATATCGTTCGATACTCGTGGGAAAAGTGTTTTTTGCACTCGTTACGAAATATACTATTTTGTCACTGCTGCTACGTTCAGCCCGTGTCGAAAAGTGCTTTTTTGTTTACTAGTAAACGAAAAGTCGAAACTTGTAAACGAAAAGACTTTTCATTTACTAGTAAACGAAACATGGCACAGTTCGGCACTCACTGAACGTAACATCACTAACAAAATAGTATATTTCGTTACGAGTGCGGAAAAGAGTTTTTTGGCTCGTGGGAGGTTTATAGCACGAGCCGAAGGCGAGTGATATAATCCCACGAGCCGAAAAACACTTTTCCCACGAGTATCGAACAATATTTTTCATCACAATGTGTGGAAAAGGGACGTTTTAGACACGCGAAGCGTGCCTAAAAAGTTACTTTTTCGCACAGCGTGATGAAAAATATAATTCGGATACACGTGCGACGGGGTGTTTCAAATCATCGCACTTGTATCGAAACATACTATTTCGAAATGGATATATTGGCAATTTTTTGGAATTGATCCTTAATTTTTTGGAATTTATCCCCAATTTTTACAAGTTTTTTACTCGTGTACTAGAATTACCCCAAACTTCAGAGATCGAACTTTTGAAATTTAGGGACAAAATCATATTTGACTTTAGGATTTCTTAGTCGCCAAGTTAATTTAACCGAATTCTAGAGCGCCTCAGATCCTAAAAACCGGAATTTTTGTTCTCTGTGTTGAATTTTCGATGAAAATATGAGCATTCAGTATACAATGAGGCTAAATTTCTAATTAATTGAAAACTCCAGAATATATTCATTTGAATCCTCCAGTCTTCTATCGATTTTCATGGAATAATTGAACTAAATTTTACAGTTCTCATCGATTTTTGCATCAATTTGTGAATTTTCAATAAATAAATTCGTTGAAATATCATTCAAACTGTCATTTCACAAAGAATTCCAATAATTATACCGAAAATTTGATGCAAAAATGTATAATACTGCCGTTTCCACTAAACTTTCAGGATATCTAGTCTGGAATTTACTATTTGATGAAAAAATAGATAAAAACTTCGAATTTCTGTTGGTATCCAGTCAAAATCCTATTAATAAAAAATTAAAACACTTCTTTCTTGGTTGTTAATTGCAGGAAAGAACATATTCCGTTCATTTCCATATGTTACAAGTCTCCCTGATTTACAAAATATCATTCCACAAAAGGAAGATTCTATATTACTCAAGCGATAATACCGATCAGAAGAGTTGCGTCGTAAACTGCAGGATTAGGCAGGTTTTGGCTATTAGTTTGAAATATGTGTCTGGATGTGAAAAGTGGCCTGACCGTGAATCGCGTAACAGGTTACAAACGGCTCTCTCATTCGAGACCAAAGTTATAATCCTATATTGTACACGATCGCTCTTGAAGAAGTGAGTTCCATTCATCGTCGAGAATGACTTTTTGAATACTTCTTACTTCTTCTCAATTCTACTTTCCGATTTCATGGAGGAAAACACAATAAGATGATTTTTATTTTTAGAACATTCCTCACGCGAAATTAATTTTTTTTTTCGTTCATGTTTTCATGACACTCACAACATTTGCTTTTTGTTTCTAAAAAATTATGTTAAAAAGTGAAAAATTCGACAAATTGTACCGGAAATCCCATGCCCCCTTTTCCATTCATTAATAGTTTAGTAGTAATTGTTTAGAGATCAATATCGAATTCAATTTAGGAGGGAATTAATTAAAAAAACTTGAAATTTCACTCAAAATTAAATTCTATTCTATTTTTACCTTTCACGGAAATTTTACGGAACTGTCATGCAACTTCTATCTATCACGGAATTTTTCAAGAGCGCACGGAGAGAAATGTTCAGTAAAAATTACGGAACTCACACTTTACTCACCGATTACGGAATCGACTCAGAAAATTTAAGTGGCGGAATGGTAATTTTCCACAGGAGATTCACATAAAAATGACGGAATGCTCCAGAAAAAATCCATGACAGTTCCGTAAAATTCCCTACAACCACATTCGCTCCGGAATTACGGAAAAGATTCGTAAT